ACTAGCACCGGCCATCGAGTCTTTGCCCACGAGTCCAACCACAATTGGTAGTGGTAAATTTCCAGGTGGAGGTGTGCAAAAAGGGTCCTCGAGTATATGCCTTCACCAGATGGGAGGAGGATGACAGCCCTCCCTTCCTTCATGTAGCATTCCTCGAACAAGTCCGGTGGCACTCCTCCTGGTGAGAGATTGTACGCTAGGTCAGCTGCAGCCGCTCCTGTCGCCACCAAATCCATGAAAAGCAACTGGACCTGCTGCCATCTGAACACCACATGTATGCCGTCACCAGCCCGGAGGTGCATACGCCCGTATGGGGTTTGCCGTATGCCATTAATGTCCACTCTCACATCCATCTGAGCTGGTACCTCCGTGAGGAAGAGAGACAGCAATTCCTCCCTGGTGATAAGCAAGGGAAGAGTGCGGGCTTCAAAGAAGGCAACGCAAGCCCATCGGAGTTGAAAGGTCCATTCAATGACCACTGCTGGGTGAGAGTCTTGACTATTGATGACCGCGGGCGGCACCACAAGCAGCAACATGCGTCCGCGGTAGTCAAACATAGATGGCATGAGGCGTAGCACCATGAAGTCCCATTGCAGACCCCTCAAATGCTCCCACCGTCGTTCTACCATCCCCACCAGGGATTGACCATGCCAGTTTTGTGTGACAAATCCAAACATAGCATCCTGTCCGTCCGCTAAGAACAGAACTATTTGTGAGAGACCCACCACATTGGCCACCAGGGCCTCAAAGGTGTCATCCATCTCCGCATGGAACAGGACACGGTCGAAGAGAACCTGTCTCGCATCGGCCCAGCTGCTTCCGGCCGTCTCGTGTTGTCCCAAGTCAAAGAGTGTGACCACATCCTCCTCAAAGGCATAGTTCAAGTCCCCACTAGATTGTGCAGTGGTACAAATCTCAGTCACTTCAGAGACATGCACATCAATCCGCTGCCATCCACGCAACACCACATTGTCATCATGGAAAGGCGCAATTCCCTCCAGAAAACAGGAGCATTGCATGCCTGGTGCGCTGCAGACATTGCTGGCCCCTGCAAAAATCAGAACCTCCGCACAGGAGACAGGATTACCAGTGGAGATAGGCACACTTCTTGTATGAGGCCGAACAGGAGTGCCATAGCGCAAGATCACCAGAGATGGAACTCCACCAGTCCCTCCTTGCACCAAAATCTCGAAGTGGTCCTGGTGCCCCTGCAAGGCCTGATCAGGCTGAGGAGTCACAGCCCGACCCACAAATCAACTGAGGGTGCAAAATCGTCATGCAAAGCAGCTCTGACTTTAGGGATCAGAGTTTCTGGCGTAAGAGCCATAATGTCTCCCCATGCCGCCGTCCACGTGCGGTACTTGAAATTCACGTGTCTGACCCTCAAAAGAGGTGCAGTTCTTTCCATCCAGAGATAGGCCATTGCATCCATGTTCAAGCGATCAAGACCTCGAACTTCGGTATGCACTCTCCACATCTCCAGAATGCTCTCATCAAAAGTCCGCACCGGCATGAAGGTCTCAACCTGGAAGAGAGAATGAGAATCCCCATCCTCCAGCCCATGTGCTCCGCCATCAACAGGATCGTAATCAACCATCTCCTCGTCAACAAGCTGAGTAGAAGGTGATCCCCCCACTTCAGTATTCGGGGAACCAAGTGCCGTAGAGCATGAGGAATTCTCAGATACATAGGGCTCGCGTTCAGGCCCACATCTCAACCTCACAAAGCTCCCAGGCCTCACTTCAACACGTTCTCCATAGTCAGCTCTGTGTGGCAGCAGTACCAAACAGTCCGTGCTAGCACACTGACAAGGCGGATCCCAAAAAGCGAAAAGAACCACCGAATCAATCCACTCGGTGGCATAGGGCCGTTCCAGGATAACTGTGCCTTGGAGCACCACATCCTCCGTGAGAACCTGCATCATGATTGGTAGACAGTATGTGTGCTCATCCTGGTAGAGGATGATGTCACGAAGGGGCGGGTGCCCAGGCGGGATCTCTACATGCTGAGCTAGGATCCACTTTTCCTCACCTAGTGGCCTCAAGAAGGCCTGAAATCTTTCATTTCCTGAATGGAAATTGCGTTTCACACTCTTGAACTCATCACTGCTAACAAAATGACGAGCTGCAAAGGTGTGCCGCCATAACCTGTAGAGACCCTGATGCATGGCGCTGTGAATGGCCACCCACCTAGTGGGTCGCTCAACCAACTGTTGCATCAGCCAAGTCTCCTCTACTGCCATGTTGTTTTCTTGTTCCCTTAGGAGCTTGCCATGCTGAGGACTAAAAGGGTAGGCCAACAGGCATGAGCCACCGCACCCGTTCGTTAGGCGCTCTACCCCCAATCCTCCTGCATGGTCTCCTAGGGTACCAAATCGCCGGCTTCCTGCCGGTTCATACATGCTCAAGGATTGCTCGTGTCCCTGGACCTGTCCAACCCCATGCCAGAGAAAAACTAACCAAACAATCCCTAGAGAAGCTCCAAAACCCGCTGAGGCGACAAATGGCCTCTTTATGGGTTTCGATTCTTTGCAACTGGAGTCAACGTCACCCCACCGCTGCAATGTTTGTGAACACGCCTCCTTTGGACACACTCCAAGATAAGTTCGAGTCTTCATGGAAAAAACTGCCAATCTTCGCCAAGAAAACCAGCAGCACCTCGAAAGCCTCAGGAGCAGTCCTTGCCAAAGAAGAAGAAGAAGTAGAAGGAACCCAATCCCCCAAGAGGCCGCAATCCATCCTAAATGCAGCCAGGGCACCGACGGAGGTAATCGACCAACCAACCAATCCCAGTCACCCCAAGTCATCCCAGGGAAGCCCTCGTGCGTCAAGAAGGTCATTTGGACGCCGTCCCGGCCTCTTGTTTGACCTTCTTCTGGACTCCCCCCATAGGTGTCTCGGCCTGTCGGGTCGGTGATGATTTGGTTCGCCCAAAACATGGCACAGGTTGATGATTGGAAAGATCCTCCTCGTCGGAGCCTAAGTCCACTTCGATGGGGTCGGCCATCTGGAAAGCCGTCACCTGGTTCTCTTCTGTCTCCTCGTCCACAATCTTGTGATTCATAGCAGAAGCTTTGATCCGTTCCTGGATCTCCTGAAGCTTCAACTTCTTGTTTTGCAGCTCCTCCAATGCCGCTGCCCTTTTTGCTTGTACTCCTCGTGCTCGACGTTGTAGGCAGCTTGCAAACCATGGTTGAACTGCTTCCATTTGGTGTCGACCTCTTTGAGCTTGGCCTTGGCTGCCTCGTATTGTGTACGAGCTTGCTTGGCTCTGTTGAGGTCTGTGTGCGTGATCTCGAGCTTTGGGGCCGGGGGTGCCTTTGCTGCTGCCAAAATGTCCTGCTCCAATTTGGGTGTAAAGGCACTGCCCAAGCTCTTCTGCAAATTCTCGATGTGCTGCTTCACCTCCACTGGGACCTCCTCCTGGTTTCCAGGCATAGGAGGTGGTGGCAGAGTGGGTGGCGGTGGCACATCCTCCAGGTCCGCTAGCCGGCCTTCCGGAGTGCTCTTCTGCCATGGTTGCCCGGTGCCTGTCCAGTCCATGAAGGAAGGGAGCATAGGTACCGGTGTCTCCGGTTCTTTGGCCTGCTTGGCTTTTCCCTGGTCTTGGCTTCTCTGCTTGCGTTGAGATTTGGACCGCGATTTTTTCCTCCTGTCCATGCATTGCTCCCACCAGGCATGGCGCCCAGTAATTACAATGCATTAAGGAGGTAGGTCATGAAGACCCCACATCTGCGGCATTTCCAATGCTGGCTCTGCATAGTTGGGGAGGTAGGCACGTGTGACCCGTGATGGGCCTCCAGCAACCGTGCCGCTCGACGTCCGCGACGAAGTTGCCTCTTTCCCACGGGGCGCACCCCTCCTCCTCTCAAGAAGGTTCTGGCCCTCTGCCTGGTCCGGCGCAGATTCCGGTGCCAGGTGGGTTCGCGAACCCGCGCAGCCAGTTTCTTAAAACCAAGCAATGAAGATCGCCTCAAAGACCACAAGGATAAAGAACGGCAGGGTCCCACCATACGAGATGAGGCGACCTACCTAAGGATCACACCTAATCACCTTCCCAGGGGCAACTGGGTCAGTGACATGGAGCCTTGCCCGTTCACTCTTCCAAATCAAAAAATCCCGCTTTTCCATGCGCCGCAGTATGCATTGCAAACTTCAAACACTCCAAATGTAACAAACACATAAATGCTTCTTTTCAATCGCATGCCGTACTCGCGTGCGCGCGCGCGCGTGCGCACGTGGTATCCCACCACTCGAACTCAGACGGTATTTCCCCTTCGCTAACGCTGATGTCGCCTTCCATAAGATGCATACCTTCCTGCATGTGACAAACGCATGCCATTGCCTTGTGATGATGACCTACACCAACATACAACGTATCGCACTTCTCTTTCACTACTTCTTTCACACCAAACTTATCCCAAAGTCGCCCGGCTTGCTTCTCTGCTCCCTCCATCACCATTACGCATCCGCGGCACCGCTGACTCGCAAGCTGCCGACCATGTATCTTGTGCCGCGACGCCCGCCAGAAAAAGAGACACTCGTCTGGCGGCTGCTGGCTTTCGTCCCCCTTCTCAGATATCTATATATATATACATAGATAATAATATATACAGATCGAGATCAACCGCTTTCCGGATCATCGAATGGGCAAAGCAAACGGCCTTCACTCTTGGAAGCCTTCCTTTCAGACGAGAGGATAGCTTTGTGACCCTGGGTCACTGCCTTTCCTTTTGGCCGAATGGTTCGCAAGGATCCAGACAGGGTCCAGTTTGCTCTGTGTGATTCTGTTGATCATTTATCTCAGAAACCACGATGTGGTCTTGCGGCAGAACCTCAACCTAGCATATTTCGCAGTGTAAAGATCAGATGAGGCCAAGGGAAAAATGCCAAGGATTGGGTCTGAATTTGCTTGAGTTTGTGCTAGTGCATTGTGTTTTGACTGATTCCCAGTCATCCTATTCTTGTCATTGTGGAGACCAGTCTTTCGTTTTGCCGGAGGAGTTCCGACTAATAGCAGATGTCAGCGCAACGAAGGTGGATTGGTTGTGGGAAAGTCATTTTGAAGATGCTTTGTTCAACATTTAGTCATTGTGTAAGCCGAGTGAGTGCGATTTGGCGGCAGGGGCCCTTGGCAAAGCTCTTGGTGACCTTGCCGGCTTTCCGACCATCCACGGTGCAGGATGGGGCAAGAACAGATGTGATCAGATGTGCGGAATTGTGCAGATGAGCGGACGACTTGTGTTTTTTCACCGCAGAGCGACACAATTAGGCTGCACCGAATCCGTTCCTTGGCATGATGGCAGGCCAGTTGCTCAGTGCCTCGATTTAATTCTTGCTGTGCCTCAGAATTACCAGCTTGCTAGCTGCTAGTTCCAGCTATATACGCTTATGTATACTGTATTTCATGCTTGTGAATTGAAGCGACCTCATGCCATGACTCGCGAAAGGAAAAACGGATATGTTTCATATGTTTGGCTGCATGTTGAGGTGACTAACTGGTGCATTCCTGGATGATTTAATGCGTAGTGTATGGTTCACGGATCAAGGTCGGGAAATAAGATCAGGATTTCAGCTGAAACTGAAAGGTGGCCTAAGCCGTCCCTTGCATCTCGGTTTGGGCAGCTTGGGACCGACAAAGCAGACCGACAAACCACTCAAGCCGCTCAGGCCACCACACACCTTCCGACACATCCCAAGTCAACACGGCGACAACCCACAGACGCTACAGATCATCACACACACAGCAGATGGGCACAAATAACTACTGTGGATGACCGAGAGCATCAAGACACGAAGACCTCTAATGAACTATACAAGTACAACCAACAAGGTCAAATGTGCAACGGCCCAGTGCTTTCCGGGTTCCTTTCTCTGTAAAGGCAGAAACACCTAGAAAGGACAGTCTCGCGCTTTCGTTCCCACCCTCCCACAAAAGGAACGTAATGCTGACGCAGACCGTGTTCTTCTCTGCTTTTGTGTTCTTGGGAAGGTGCCTCTGGTGCCGTGCCACAGCCTGGCATGGGATGGAGGTGGGAACGATTATGATTAGACTTGTGTCAACAGGGCTTGGCTTTTGCCTTTATGGGTTTTCGTTATTTTCGTTTCTTCTTCGCGAGGCTTCAATCGGAGAGTCTTTTTGGTTGGATATTGTCGCCAACTTGCATTGACACAGCTTTGTACAAGGCGTGTGATATTGGTTTGACATCAATTGTCAATTGCTGATAATTTTAAATAATCTATATAGATATAGTAAACCTTTTGTCGTGCAATGACTCAAACTCAATTTGCACACTCCGCAAGCAATCATAATGACAGGAAACGGCAAAGGGGCAAACAACATCAAACAACAAACTCTACGCCAGCCTTGAAACATTAGTTAGAAGGATTACCTTGTTCATAGTTTTTTTTTGCTTCGGGGAAGGAACAGAGCGCCCGTTCAGTGCATTTCTCCCGTGGCCTTGCATCCCGAAGCCGGGCCTCAGTCGAGTCTGCACGGCGGCCCGGTCTCAGCTGTTGCAGTTTTAAGTTGCAAGGAGTATCAAAAGAGACCAATGGAGAAAGCGTTCAGTTCCTGTCTCCTATAGAAGGAGTTCTTGTCAAAGGCTGGTTGAGAGACGAACATATTTCAGCCAGGTTCAAAGATTGCTTCGGGACACAGTGCAGGAGGTTTGTTGCCCAGCATTCTGTTTTGCAGTATGATACAATCTACATACATGAAACTCTGAACAAAACGATGCAAAGTGGCATAGTGTGATTGAACCAGTTTTGAACCTTGCAGCCGCTTGCAGCATTGAACCGTGCGGCACCTTGGGCACCTTGTAGTAGTTTGGGCCCAAGTAGTTGGAAGACCTTCGAACAGAAGGCCCCAGGTTTGACAGCGCTGCCTTGTCAATCTTTTTTATCGACAATGGCAGGCTATTTGCAGGTTGAAGTGGGAGAGACACAGCCGCACGGGGAAGGGTGCTGTAAGGGCAATGGGAGATGGTACTGTGCTGCTTGGCCCATTGCTGGCCTTGGAACTTGCTTGTTGCTCGTGGCACTTAGCATGTGGAAGACTGCTCAGCCTCCAAAGCCTGCTCTTGAAGTCGCAAAGGACATGGGGGTCCAAGAACTTCTAGACCTCTTCCTTGATGATGAGGGACAGAATGGACAAAGTGCCATCCAGCATCATCGGGACGGGATGAATTTTACGAATGCTAGCATGACGGCCAATATTACTGACATCAGGAGACAGTTGCAGGACATGATCCAAAACCCATTGGCCCTGCCAATCGCCTCTTGCACCGTGAGTGTGTACCTCGTGGCTTCTTTCATCGGTATCCTTGGAAACGTCATCAATGGCGCTGATGTTGCCTGCAAGAAGGCTGACAAAACAAAGTCGGTCTTCAAAGCTGATGCAATTGTTGATTTGTTGCCTCGAATTGACAACATTATTTCCGTGAAGCAAAAACTTACCGTTCAGGACTTGCTTGACCAAGGTTGCCGAATTGGGATTGAAACATCGGTTTCCCTTGTTGCCTTCATAGCTGGCTTCTTGGCTCGTGCGGCCAACGACTGTGCCATGACCATCAAACCAGTTCCCAATCCAGGAGCTGGGTGTGCATCCGACATGTCGTTGGTGTCAGCTGGGATTGCTTACTTGACTGCAGGGGCAGAAACTGCCCAGGCAGTGTGTCCACCATACCCAAATGACTTTGACATAGACGCTGAAGCCCTAGATATTGTTGGGGGCCTCTCAAGACGTCTGCGAACAGCCGCCCCCCGAGATCCCAAAGTGGAAGCCGCAGTGGATGACGTCAAAGAGATCTTGATTTCTCGACTGCCCGCTTTGGGCCCTCTTGCCAAGACGCTCCTAGACAACAGAGAATTCTTCAAACTCAGGCGAGAGGCCAAGAAGAATCATAGACGGACAGAGAAGGATGTGAAGTGCGGCTTTGACATTGCAGGTGTGGTTGGATTTACTGCTGCTGTGGGTGTTTTCCTCACTGCAGGCATCATGGAATGCCCAGCAGCCACCGGATTGGGGGCAGAGGCAGAGGCTTTCAAGATGGGCTGCAGCCTCGATATCTCTGCAGTCATAGCTGCCCTGACAACCATTGCTGGATTTATGGGAATCCTTGCCACGGAATGCCCAGAGAAGCCAGATACTCCAGCAAAGAACCTTTGTGTCACCGCGGGCTTCAACATTGTTTCATCCCTCGGCTTCATGTCAGCAGCGCTTTCTGACGTGAAGCGCCAATGCGGAGCTCTCTAGGTCAAGTCACCTCGGGTCTCCTCTGCGGTTTCACAGCCAGCAATAATCGGGGTACTTTGCCTCGAAAAAGAGGTTGTGGATAGCCGATGCCTTCTGAAATGCATGAAAAGCCATGTTGCCGACCAGTCAATGCGGAAAGGACATAACTGCATGTCAAGGAAAGCAAGCATGAGCAAGCTTCAATCAGCAGGTGGATCGGTGGTTTCCTAGGTGCTTCGGCAGGGGAGTAGCATCGTGGCACCACTACTTCGTGCTGGCGAGGCATCGGAGCTGCCAGTGTTGAATTTGCTACGATCATGGTGTTTAGGTTTGTATATATATATATATATATTTGTTTAAAACTATTTTGTAGAGCTTGCCTGGCCTACATTTAACCTCATGCTGGTGATGAAGTGCCATGATAGGCCAGCAGAAACGCCGTGGTGGGCTGGTTTGCAGCTTTGGTCACTGGTTCACAAGCGAGGTCCCGCGCTTTGTGGACGAACACTGTCCAAGGAATGTTTCATGAACTGTTGCTTCTATGATCAGGACGAAAAGCGCCAACATGATGGACCAGGAATCCGACGTGACCATCATTCCCACATTTGCGCTTCTACTTTCACTTGTGCAATGAGCAGATTCTAGGGAGCATGCATGTCGTGGAATCATCATTGCGTGCATTCTTTTGGTGCCCCTGCTTATTAATTTGGTTTGCTTTTGTTTGCCAGATAATCGAACAATTCTTTAAGACAGATTGGTCGGAATGTCTTTCTCCTTTGATCAGATTTGAATGCCAGGGTCAAGGACCCCAAGGATTTCTGTCCATGCTTGAAAATGCGTCAAGGACCCAGTGCAGAAAAGCAATACCGAATTCATCAGGCTTTCCTACTTAAAAGAGAGTGGGCTGGTGCAGCATTTCAATTCAATTACAGTATATAGCTTCCATTGGCTTCCACTTTAGCCCAGAGGCCGGTTCCTCTCGAGATGCAGATGCAAATGCAAATCATGAAGGCTTCAGCGAATGACAGCCTTGTCAATTCTGCCTTGAAATGCCTTTACTCCTTTTGCGCGAGGCCCAAACGTCTGGATTTGCAACATCTGGACTTTGTGCATGCACCTCAATTTGCATGGAATGGAACAAAGCACAATCAAATGCATGTCATGGAAGTTTGTTTGTGCCAATTCTCACATGAAATATGGTGGCCTTGAGGGTGCGAGATACACTGGCAACATCCATGACTGGTCATATAAAGAAGACACCTTGAGTCATCATGTGTGATCACTCAGCAAATTCCTGCAGAAACCAAGGTGAACAGTTTCTGGGCCATTTTAGAGCTGGTGAAGCCCATCAAGCTTCCTCAGGCGATGAATGGCGGACATTCCATTCTTCATGAGCTGGAACCTCGCTGAGCAGTTTTGCAGGTCACCACGCTGGAACCATTCTACTTGCTGAGAGAAGGTCCCCACGATAAGGAGGCTGACGAAACAGCTTGAATTTGGAACATTGGAGCAGTTATTAGTTATATCAGTGTCCTTAAAATGCTAGGAACCAAATTATTAGTGCGAGCACTTCCTTGAAGAAGCGTGAGCTATCCTGCGTCAATGCTAGGAGCGAACAAGTTCCTCATAGCTAACTAGCCTCCCTTAATTAAGTAGGCGCCTACTTAATTAAGTAGGGCCTACTTAATTAAGTAGGGAGGGGGGAGCGGGCTTTAAACAAAGTAAATTTGACAATCAGATCGCAAAGGCTCGGAAGAGGGTTGTATCCAGCCTTATTGAGACTTGAAGGGAACTTGAAGACAAAATTCCTTTGCTTTAGGTCATTGGCGGCTTCTTAGAAGAGCCGCGCTTTGGAGAGACCTCAGAGGTTGGGACAAATCTTGAGATACAGACTCAGAGCGAGTTGGTAGACTGCACGGTATGTCAATTGTATTATTTGCAGACACAACACAGCAACTTACGACACTGCTTGAGAAGGACAGCGTGCCAACAATCGTCCTGTCATTCTACTCCAAAGTTGTGGAAGCAACCAAATAGTGAATCGCTCTCAGACCGCAGAAACCCACCCAAAATATGTCCTTGGTCGGGGATGAGCATGCTGCCTTTCCTTCATATAGATTGGTGTTCTTCGTGGGTTTTCGGGCAGGCACTTAGTTGCTAAGCAGGTTGAGGCCACCAAAGAGTATGCCACATCGAAGGGTCATCTGAAAGATCCCTCCAAGTGCATAGCTCAGCAATGTGGGACAGGAGGACTAATTATGTCCTGTACTTGTTTGTCCTATCAACAGCAAAGAAGCTTTGACTTCATTTGTTTGCACGAGCCATTGGAATGATACTGGATCAAGAAATAACCGACCTGGAATCATTTCAACGGATGAGACCGTCACTTAGATCCATGCTCGCAAGAGCAAAATCGCCTTTGAACTCCAGTGCATTAGCCCTTTAGATGAATACTTAGTGCTGGACTTGCAGAACTGTAAGGTGATTGGGTCCGCGACAACAGAAGAGTTTAACAAAGACGCCTTGATAGCGCCACCAAAAATCGAAAGGCAGGTACGTCAGCAAGCGTCCTTGCTGATATCAGCACAGCCTGAAGAGCCTCT